TTGTTGTATTGTATACGTGTTTCTTCGTGTTATTTGCACAACGATGATTGACATCACCCATGAGCAGCAGTAACAGCAGCCGCTCGGATATGGCGACATAAAGAATAGATATGGAAAAAAAGATGGGTAAAGAGGGAAGAATGGATGGATGGATAGAGGGGGTGATTTTTGAAGGAGACATTTCTGTATTGTACAATAACGTCAAGAAAGAGTAGGAGAATGTTGCCATTTGCGTTTCAAGTGACTGACGCAAATACACAAGGCAACTATCATCATCATCATCCTTCTTCCAATAGAAGAAGTAGTTCTGGAAAATAAAAAAAAGAACAAAGAGAAAAAGAACCAATATATATATATATATATACATATGCTGTGAGGGGAATGATACTAATCATTTTTTGTTGCAATTGCATATGTTTTTTTTGTTACTTACAGCCAACAAAAGAAAATCTGGAAAATGCTACATAACTGATCGATATATTTATTAAAAAAATTGTTTCATTCTTTAGAATGTTGTTAGTGATTAATAAAAAGAAATCTGATGTGTTTATTATTTAAAAGAAGCAAAAAAAAGAAAGAATTAATCAATAAGTTGTAATTTTAACAAAGTAAAAAAAAAGACTATGCTGATGTTGTACCCGATCCAGACATAATTGGCGGTATTCGAGCAAGCCTGTGTAATTTAGGAATTTGTGAATCTCGATCATTGTTATCATCATCATCATTATTATTATTATTATTCTCTTTTGATTTCTGTAATAAATCATTAGCTACTTGTATTAAAGCTAAATTACTTCGTTGAGCAATAGGTTTCAATGGATTATTTTCATCATAGTAATTTGTAAATTTAGCTGTGCCACTCTAATAAATAAATGAAAACAAGTTAGATAATATGTAAAAAGAAAAAGAAAATATTTACTTGATATTGTCCCGGATCACCTTTTTTCAATCGAGAATCTTCATATAGAACACCTGCTACTGGTTGAATAAGATCTCCAACTTCAGTTGATTGTTCTGGAAGTACTACAATATATGAATAAAAAATTTACTTTATTTAATCAAATAAAATATTCAATAGACAAACAAACCAATTTTAACTGATGCATATTTTGATGCAGATCGATCAGTTTTTATTTGTTGTGGTGTTTTAGTTGGCGGCGGACGAATTTCCATTGCAGGTTTTCTTGGTTTCACAAGATCACATTTTACGCGTATACTATATAAATAATAAGAAAATTCGAGAATGATAATATTTTAAATAATCAAACTTTTTTGATGCAATTTTATCTGGATCAAGTTTTGCTATAGCAATAACATTACCATATTCATCAAGATCAAGTTCTCGATATCCAGGTGGTCTACTGAGAATGCTCTATAATTTGTAGAAAAAAAAAATGTTAATAAATATAGTCTAAATTTTGTTCTGTACTTTAAGCATTGCATGTGTAGCAACGGGAGCTTTTGAAATAACTTCTTCAATCTGTTGATCATCATATATTTTTGATTCACTAGGTTTTTTATGACTTTTTGTAGTTGTTGTTTCACTCATATTTGTTGTTGATGCAACCGCATCGGAACCAAATTGTGATGATAGTTTTGATTGATTTATATTTCGACGTTTTGTACTTGATATGAGTGGAATTGATTGAGTAGATGAACTCTTTGTAGTCATTCGTGGTGGTTGAAATAATTCCGCTAATGGTTCAAGCTTTTAGAAAATAAAATAGCATGAAACTTTTTCTTTCTTTTTTTTTGATATCTGATAATTATTTACTTTAGGTGGTTGTGTTTGAATGACAAGTACATCATGATTATAATGTTTTTGTTCGAAAGATGATCGATTAGTATCGTACTCAGTCGAAGATTCTTTTTGAGTTAATATATTATCATTGCTATCAGTATTAGTCCATGGATCTAATTTAATATGTTGTTCAATATCAATAGATTCATTAATTTTTGAAAGTTTTTTAGCTCGACTATTCGAATGCGATGTACGAATTGAACTGCCTACTGATGAACCTGTTGAAGGACGTCGAATTTGATCGATAGCTTCAAGTATTGGAATACTAACAGGAGCTGTTACTGGACGATCAGCCATTGAGAATGATGATTCTCTCATACTAAATATAAAATAATTATCGATATGAATAGTACTTCAATAGAATAGAATAAAAGATAAACTAACCTTTGAGGACGTTCTTCTCGACATGCAGGTACAACACCTTCACCCCAATTATCCATAATACATGGTATAGGTTCTAATATAAATAATAATTTAAATTCTTTAAATAACATTATCTATTATTCATTTATTTACCCGTATCTTCTGTCCAGAAATTACCGGAACTTGGTTTTGGTTCATCTCTTTCTAAAAATGCCCACTAAACAAAACCAAAATAAAAGAATATAATAATTTTCAAATATTTTCTTTCTTTACTTGAATAACATTAGATAAGGCATTTTCTGTCATCATTAATGTAAATGGTAATAATTGTTTTCGAATATGTATTTGTTGAATTTGTTTTGATGTTTCTGTCCAGATACTTTCAAATATATCAGCTATAAAATCTTCTGTATCATCATTTTCTAATAATGATATCCAATCTGATTCATTAAATTTTCCTGGAACTATTTCTATTACGCTTGGTGGTTGTTTATCAGTTTTACTTAGATCTTTTCCCGATGTTTTTGTAGTTGATCTACCTGCTGGTTTTCCTTGTTTAGAACCAGCACGTGTAGACATGTTTTAGCAGATGAATAATATCAAATACTTGTCAGAAATATTTTGACAATTTTAGTCAGATTGCCCTTCAATAACCATTGATAAAAAAATCTGCCTTGACAACGTTGATTTATTATATTAAATCATACATGCGCCATCTATTCTTTGTACCATAGATGGATGCAGTTACTTAAAATATCAAAGAAACAACACATGATTTTTTCATTTGCTACGCGATAAATCTGAGTATTCGTAAGTTGAGAGTGAATAAAGATATAAGTCCCAATGCGAGTACTGTATACATTTTAGACTCTCACCTCTAACTACAATCACAATGACTCCCTGAAGATCAATACTTGGCTGATGTGTATCTAACAAAAAAAAAACAATATAAAGAAACCCAATATCTTAAACATATTTTTTGTATCATAATTGACTATTACTGAACTTCAAAATGAATGACTAAATTTAATAAAAGATATATTCTTCACAACATTGTTTGTATAATACAGAAAGAATAGTGCTTGAATCTGAAAAAAATACACGATTGAAAATATATATATTAATTACAAAGTTATGATCGTTATACTAATTTTCCCTGGTAATTTTCACGGTTTATTTATTAGAAAAACAAAAATATTCTTATGACATCTGAATTGAATGATTGTTTTCGAGATATTTTTAAAAAGAAAAAAGATTCATAAGAATCTCATCCATCCTCTATGAAAGAGAATGTCGTTAACTTTCAATACGTATAGTTCATCGACTATTTTACGTCTTCCTACAAAAGACAAAGTTTGAGTATAAGTACAAGATTGAAAAATAAAGAAATACTATTTATTTTAAAAATATTTTAACATTAGTCATAATTACATTTGATTTTTATAATAACAATATTGAATAAGAACATTAATTTAGAATTTAATTAATGAAGAAAAAAAGAATTAGTGTTTAGAAAAATATTCTGTAAGTTTCTGATTGTCTTTGCTTTCAGTTGTTTTCCAAAGTTGGATAAATCGTTTATAATACTTTTTCCCATCATCTTCAGAGATTTTTTGTAAAACTTTTAAATTACATGATTGATAGTTACTTAAATCATCTGAATCACATACATAATGTTCAAGTTCATTTTGTGAACATACTTTTTCAGCTGTCATTATTATTTTCGATTGATATTCAACAGTTTGTTTATCATGTGAAAGTAATGGTGCGCT